TTTTTTTTATTTTTTTTTTTGTGTTATCTAGTGAAAAATAAATGTAGAAGTCTTAATTTTTCATAGAACACTTATATTGACCTTTTCTTAACATGTAATAGTTTTAAAAGTGAATTTTCTGGCGATTTTTTAATTATTTATATATGTATTTGACATTTTTGAGTTTTATAAATTTGTATTTGGTTATATGTATTATGTAAATGAAATACCTATTATAAGAAATAAAAAGCATTGTAAAATCAATAACTCCCTCGATATTTTGGAATTTTAAAATTTCAAGTTGCAGTTGCTTTATGGTTCTATACTTGCCCCACTAAAGAATCCTTGTAATTCATTAGGAGTTATAACATGAACCAGCACAAACGAAAACGGTGCATTTTCCCAACGTAATTTTTTTTTAGATTCGGAGCGTAGCATGGGACCTATTGTTTCACTATGATGTGTGTTTTTGAATTTTTTATATTTTTTTTGTCTACCAGAAGACCTGCTCCGAAGTATAAACTATAGCACCTTTTCTGAAACGTAATTTTCTCTCGGTGCATCGTGGCGTTACCGTTGTCGTTGTTTTTATAAAGTTTATACGATGTTTTCTACCAGAAATATTTCTCCAATTCAAAAATTACTAGAGATTTTATTCCTTATAATATTTCACCACTGATAAAGAATTTTTTTTTTAAATCCAAATTAGTTTTGCTATAAATGGAAAAATTTTAAATGGATACATATTTACGACAACTGCAACGTAGCGTCCCGATTTCATTATATTAATATATTCAACTTGATATGTTTTCCACCAGAAAGATTAATTAAACCGAAAAATGACAAAAATCGATTTTGTTCCTTTTAACATAGCCACTGATAAAGAAAGTTGTTTTTTGATATCTAAAGTATTTTTCATAATAATTAGGAATACCAAAAATACAAAGTATACGATTTTTTTTCAAATTACGGTACAACGATTTTATTATTTTAAAGTTCAACGGCTTATGTTTTCTATCATATATATTGTTCTAATAGATAAACGGCAAGAGACATTTCTTTAAAATTTTTAATCTGGTTAGTAACCAAGAGTCATTTTTTTAATTATTTTTTTTGTAGTTTTTTAATAATCGAGCAAAATCGAAAAATACGTAGAAAGAACGGGAAAATTTACGAAATTAATTTTTTTATTATTGAAATTTAATTTAAAATATTCATAGGGACTTAAAAACTAATATTTAATTTTTCTAGACATGGTAAAACTTTCAGAATATTTGAGCAATTTTTTTAGTTGAAAGCAGTATTTTTTAATTTTTTAATAGATTTAAAATCAAATTTTGACTAAAATATTAAATTATCGGCCTTTCAAAATATGTTTAACCGAACTTCGATCCAAATCGTTTTACGTTATCATGGTTTATCATTGGTTACAGGTATAAATCAAATAAATTTATGTATCCTACCTTCTCCACTACTTACCTATAGGCTATAACAGCTGAACAGTGGCCAAACCCGTATCCAGTATCAACTCTATTTTTTAATTGAAATAAATCTAAACCATTCATTAGAACCATACAATATTATAGGTGTATTTTGAATTGGTTAAAACATTAAATCTAATGAAACTTGCTCATTTATCGTTTTGTTTTTTTGAGGGACTTCTTTTTCCATATCATCATTTGATTCTTAGAACTCAGATATAAAATCAATCATTCCTTATTTTAGATCATTGTCGAAATTTTGTAAAGGTTCTCAAACTCTCTCTTTCTCTGGAAAATTTACCATCACTTCTTCATCACTAGATAGTGAAGATAAATTCAAAGCTTGAACGTTTCCAAGTAAACTAATAATTATAATATTTTGTTCTGGGACCATGGTAAATATGCGCTTAAGGTAGGTAATAACAAAATTATCGTACCTACTACTACCTAATACTTATTTATTACATCTCAATCTCATTATGTTGCATAAAAGGTGAATATATTCAAATTTGGGCTTACGAGTATTTCCTACAAGTATTTAAAATACATGGGTACACGGGTAGATGTGTATTCAATAATGTCCGTGTATTTGATTATACACGTGATTTAATAATATCCATATATTTAACAGGTATATATTTGAATTTTATAATGCTCGTGATTTTGACATTGATCGCATTGATGTTACGCGAACGTGTCCCTTGATTTAGAATATTAATATTCTGATTTAACATATCATAATTTTAATAATAATATCATAACCTAACCAAATAAAACCTTGTATCCAGTTTATACAGTAAAAGTTACATTGGATAAACGTTTTTTTCTTTTATATACGAAGTTTTAGACGTAGGAAAAACGAGAAAATTCATGAAATTTATTATATCATTGAGGGTAATGTAGAATTTTTTTCATAAGAATTTTAATATTAAATTTTTGGAATAATCGTAACTATTACGATCTTTCAAAACATTTATAGCAAACTCCGCTCAGAATTGTCTTTCGTTAGCAATGGTTAATCGTTGCGTATAGATATTACTAGACAGCTCAAATGTTTTTAAAATGTGCACAGCAAAAGACAAACAAAAAAAGTTTAAATAGGTACTAGATTTTCATAGATTACAGAAAATGGAAAGTTAAGCGAAGTTTTAGTGTGACCGAATAAAAAATATTTTACGGTGACAAATTGACGTTCAATATTAATTTGGTACATTGATTTGTTATCAGTATCTTTTTTTTAGTAACCGGGGGGTGGGATATTTGCCTCAACGCTCCTCAAGGATTCGTCCTTACTAACTACTAAGTTATGAAAAAAAAATTAAAAATGAACGGACATACTTTGCACGTGGGTGCAGCTACTGTTATAGGTGGGAAATTTGGAAGATAGGATATAGACGGGAATTTTATGTATATCTGTAAGCAACGATAAACCATTGTTAACGAAATAACAATTCTGAGCGGAGTTCATTTGATAGTGTCGCTTTGTCAAAAATATGTCATATTATGATAAAATAATTACAACTATGTGCGGTTCCATGACAGCAATATGATTGTTTAAAAAGATTAAAATAATAACAAAATATATATAAAAACAGTTGTCAATGACAACCTTATTTTTAATCTTTCAATATTTTTTAACCTAAAGACCGAGGTTTTCCTCATTATTTAGAATATTAATGAGAATTTTAAAAAATGACCTCTTTAAAGTACCACTCATAGAACATTTCCTTTCAGAAAAGGTATTATACTTGATAATCGGAGTATGCTTACTCGTAGAAAAAGTGTTCACATAAAAAAAAAAAATAATAGTAATAAAATAAAAATAAACGTCACTGTAAGACTAATACATTCCTCACTTCACTTATAAAATTAGTGTAATTTAATAATTATTTAAATTTTATTTTTTTGTTGTTATTCGGTTAAAAATGATCAAAGATACCTGACATTTTCACAAAATACAAATTAGCTTTTTCTAAATATGGTTATTGTTGTTGGTGATGTTCAAAACATTTTATCGCATTTTTAGTTTTATTTATATTGTTAAATGTTAATAGGGTATTTGATATTTTCGAGTTTATTTTAGTTTTTATTTAGTTTATGTAGATAAAATTATTTTAGCTGAGTAGATATTATTGAAAATGATACACGATGTTTATCATAAGTTGTATTTTATGATGAAAAAAGTTGAAGGAATGTAGTAGTTTTTTTTATAAGTGTTTTAAGTTTAAATTTTGATGAAAATCGTGAAAATCAAGGCATTTTAAACGTATCTAACCAAACTTCGCTCACAATCTTTTTTTGAATAACTTCCAAATTGAAGAAATTGAAGAATTTTGAGATAACAACATAATAATCTGATTTGAAATCATAATAAATATGAGTGGTTGTGTCATCCGAACTAAATGGAAAAAGCACCATTATAATATGCAGAAAAGGATGATAGTCATCGGAACTGACAAGAGGCATGTCAGCTATACTTACAGATAGCTTGTTAGAGCTGGAGAAAATTAGATCAAGTACGCTGTCGTGAACATTGAAAAAGGTGTTTAGTTGAAAAGGATTTATAAAGGAGGAGTTGTCGACAACAATGGATATGTGGTAAGTTATAATCGCGGCACAAAATAACGAATTTGGGATTATGGGCGCATTCATTTATGCAACAGTGTAAACATGAGCGTCTATTACTTCAATAAGGAAAAGGGAAGGTGGCAGGTAAACAGTGCCTATCAGTAAACATTCAGTACCAGAAGACAATAAAGCAAATATTTGTTCAAAATTAGTAACGGTTGGAACGAGGGAGATGATTTTCAATGATAATAATAGGAATTTCCTGTGAATGTTATAATGGGATGATCCTGAGAGAGGTGGGCATTGAGCAATACTATAAATATATATTTTGGACGTATACTTATAGGCTGTGACTTAGACCTAGTCAAGAAGTTCCTGAAATAATCTTGGCGTTCCGGTTAGTAGCTATATATTATCTATTCAAAAAATATTTTCAGTCTGTACCACTATAAACTGAAAAACGGTTAAAAACGGTTAAAAACAAACAGATATATAATTTGTATTATTAGTTATTATAATTAATTAACAAATACAATATTACTAGTGTTTCGTTTTGTTTTATTATTATTATTATTATTAACTATCGGTATTCAATATGAAATTGAAATCTAACAAACTGTATACACGTTTATTACAGTTACTATACGATTATCAATTATTATTAGTAAAACGTGTGCTTCAATATACTACAATAAATTATAACATTCGTAATGATTTTTAGTTCGCATCCATTGTAATGTCTACATTGGGTGTGTCTGGTTGAACGTCATAGTATTGATGACGGTTGTTAATGTCGTTTTCCCGATGGGACGAAAACAAAATGTCGTATAAATCCTTAGCGTTTCTTATGGCAGTCGGTTTAAACTGCGACTTGTACGAATCGTCGTCGTCTCGGTTGTAAATGTTATTGATCGCGGCTTGTTGATCGGTGTACTGCTGCAGTGTTCTCGGCTTTGCTATAATCGGTAAAATAGGAGAAGCCGATTTCCTTTTTCCAAATCTATAATTATACAAACAAAAAACACGCAGTTCGGTCAAATATAGATAGATAATATAATATTTAAAAAATATTATTATATATAATTTGAGTAGGTATACGTATGGTTGTATAAACTGACATACCTATACATATAAACCTAACGAATATATAGTATGCCTATGAATAACGTGCGAACATTTTAGGTATATACAAATATATAGCTACTGATTCAAATTGTGAATTACGAACAGAAAATTATGATGAAGATAGTCATTCTTTAAAAAGAGAAATTGAAAATCATGGAAGTTTGTTACCAATATTTAGGTAAAGAAATCATACACTGTAATTTTTTTTATGTCATGTTCTAATGTTATATTATTCAATATGTTTATTAAGTTATTTTAAATTACCTACCTAAATATTATGTTAAATTTGTTTTATAGTTTTTATACCCAATGGTCTTCGACTATATACAACTATATAGATAATATATAAGGGGCAACTATTTAATTTAATATATTTCAAATAAATGTTTTGTGAGTATAAGTGTGGAACGCAGAAAGAACGTTAAAAAAATGGGTGGGAGGGTGGGTAACTTTTGTTACTGCATGTACTCTCAAAATACCTCTGTGCGCCACTGGACGGAAATCAAAAATTTGAACATGAAAATGTATTTAAAGTAATACTCCATCTATTTATAGATTTTTTTTATTTAGGTTCTTTTTTGTAAAACCAAAGTTGTTATCATCACAAGACACTCTTTAAATGTTGTGAAAAATCTAAGTATTTGAAAGTAACAGCTTTAACTACACTAAAAAATTCCAAAAATCAAAATTTGAATATATGCAAAATTTACCAAAAAAAAATGAGATGAACACGTTTAGTGAATCACTCTATATATGTAAACACGGACGTTTCTACTTACGAATAAAGATTGGGTAAAGGCGACTATAAGTTAGGTTAGGTTAGGTTAGCCTATAAGTTTAGTTTGTAGACTGTAGATGAAATAATATATTATTTTTCAAGGAGATCGGTTTCTCCTGTATCAAAAAAATGCTTGACGTATAATATAAATTGAATTTTAAATCAGAACAAAAGCGTTTAGATATATTGATAGTTGTTCCCTGCTTCATATTGAAGCGTCACTATTAAGTTTCAAACAGATAATGAAATATTTTAAAATATAATTGTTTGATAAGTATTATAGGTAAGAGGTAACCTACAAGGCATAAAAAGGTGTCACTAAATATTAATATAATAATATTAATAATGAATAAGTGTACCTAATGGGCATTATACGTTGTATACTTTGTTGATTATGAAGCACTATCGACAGACTGAATTTATCTATCAGCTATTAAATTGTACCTATCATTAAAGGTATATTAATATAGCGATATTAAGTACTATATATTAGAACCAAACTCTAAACTGTGTCTATGCTTCCATATTATATAAAATCGTGGGTGCATCAATAACGCATACACATATTTACCTGGGGCGAGAAACTACTGCCAGATATTGTCCTAACTGATCCAAGTATGAACGCAATTCGTCCGGTGAACCGAAAGTCTTGGGTCGTGTTGGTCGCGCTATATTTTCCACATCGGATATCACTGGATAACAACAGCATGGTACGGCCAATGTCATTACGTATACCAAGAAACTGACCAAGATTACGCTCTTGATCATATTGGAGTCTTTATTTTTGTGTAATCGCGTAAAACACAATTACGTTTGTATTTGAAAATGAATATATAAGCCTGAAAAACGGTTATAGAAAATTTAGTAGGACCATATTGTTGTAGGTAGGTAGGTAAGTAATAAAATAAATATATGGGTAGGTTTAATAAGTGTAAAATGTATCGTAGTATAAATAGGTAGATAATATAGGTTTATATGAATATGATGTTGGATGGTTAGACCCGAACGGTCTAAATCTTTAAATGTCGAGTGGCCCAATAATAATGTATTCAATAATTATTATTTTAGGTACGTAAATACAAATAAGTAATAATATGTTATATATTATAACCTCGAAACTATAAATTATTGATCAAAAATAGTAAGTAGTTACCTATTGAAAATTACAATTGATCAATATTCAAAGTTAATACATTTTTAACTTGGACAACAAACAATAATTATTCATTTTTAAAGTTATTCTTTTTTCGAGAGTTTTTACTATATTTCGACATGTTTGAGAAAAATAACATTTTGGAATGCAACTATTTGAAAAATCCGGTTTCTATATAGAAACTTTAAAATCTATTTTCTATTTACATCCCCCCAAATAAACTTGTTTAAGTACTTCTACACAAAAATAGAAAGAGTCATCACAGAGAAAAAAACACATTCTTATAAAACCCTTAAGATACCTAAGTATATTATTTCTTCTCACTTTAATCAGAATCCAATTTAACAAATAATATGTATAAAAACTATTTTGAAAATGCTGATTTTGATTTTAAGGCTGAACAATATTTAATTGTACTATTACTTTATATTTAACAAGTATACTTTATTGAAATTAAACCCTTTACAATTATGACCCGAGAAAAAGAACTAGTTAGGTAAATTTAAATTTCACGTTCTTTCGATACTTTTATTTTAATCCTTAGGTAAACTTATAATATAACACAGATTCAAATTTTAAATTACTTGTACAAATATACTTAATTAGAATATTTACGTATATGTAAAAAACAATAAGCTAAATTAACAAAAGTGTATTAATCATATAAAAAGCTTTTAACAGTATTATAAAAAGATTGTAAAACTGTAAACTGCAAATTGTATTACATAATATACAAATGTATTTTTACTTTGTGTTTAGAGTGGCAAAACCTATCGAAACTTTTATTAAATTGACATGTGCTTTGGTTTCTTTTATATGTACAACGATAGAACATTCGGTAGGCGTAAACCAATTTAGTTTATTAGCTGCTAAGTACAATTCCGTGAGTGCCAGTATATGACTTAGTCAACCGTATTAGGGGTAAACTGTCATATAATACGTAGGTATTATAGTGGCAGGTCACTATTTTTTTTTTCCTTTATATTATTCTTTTTCTATTTTTCTTATGGTTAAATGAGAATTTTAAAAATTAATCTCTATATATATATTATTCTAAAAGTAATTATCACGGAGAAAGTGATTAATTTACAATCTTTGTATACGGCTATATTACATACGTTTGGATATGTATGATATTTGTGAATATAATATTATTACTACTTATCTATAATAATACATACAAATACTGAAATACATTATTAAAATAGATTCAATTACATTATTAGGCAATATGTTAACTTCAACGATTGGTAATATTTCATTTAATTTGATTTATAATTAACTTGTAAACTTTATTTGTGGTTTCTGTATAGGTATTTGAAGTTCAACAAAAAAAAAAAAGTTAGAAACATAATATATTATGAATTATGATGATGGTTACACTCATTGGTACCTACCTATTGTAGTTAAGAAAACACGTGAGAACAGATTTTGTATGCATATATGTTTATATATATTCAAATTAAAATAATTTGCCGTTTAAAAATAATGTGTTTGTATTATGCGCGTATACTGTATAGGAAGGCAGTACTAATATTATGTACTACTAATATTAGTGTTGGTAATTTTTAAAGTGTATTCAAAATATTATTAGAGTGGTCCGAAAACAACTGAAGTTAATATAGGTATAAATATAATATATATATATACAATGCTGTTGTGTGAAATTTAAAAAAAATCGAAGTGGTGCTATTTGAGACTATACATAGATTACGTAATAATCCCAAGAGAGAATAGGTATACTGTAAGAACATGTTAATGACGAGCAATACGTGCAGGAATAACAAATTTTCGAAGTGACGCTGCAAACCAGATCAGTTTTTTTTTTACATTTTATTTTAATATCTATAGACATATATTTTGTGTAAATGGAAAGTTGTCCACAATAATATCATTAGAATCATTATTATCGTTACGAGTGTAATCGATTTAACTTCAATTTAAAATACCTACATGTTGTTTGTATTATAAATAATATACACCGTATCTTATACAGGTACGTATTATTATTGTATACTAGAATTGAATTGTTTATTGAACATATAAATCTGTCACTGCGGTGGTATTTAAAATATGAAAGTTAATTCTAGCCCATTTAACTTCCACCGTAAACAAACAAAATTTACCATAAAAGTATAACTATTATTAATAATATCTGTGTAGGGATAAAACAAGGTAAAATAACATTTTAATTCTGCAGTTCCTCGCGATTAAAATAATACACATATTAACACATGTTTGCATATTAGTTATTATTGTTGTTCGATAAAAATTGGACTGCTTTTTAATAATCCCCAGAGACGTAGAAAACTTGTTCCACAATTCAATTATAAAAGAAAAAAAACAACAAATTTGTGAATGTAAAAACAGTATAGTAATAACAAATAAGGTGTACTTTTACCAGTCATCAATTAATATTGTTGATTTTATCGAAATGTATAAGCTTGTGGTTTTTATTAATTAAATAAATAAAGGGCACGAATAGTTCACTGTTGTTAGTGGGTAGTTAGGAAGGTAGGATATAACATAGCAGTTTATGCAGTCTATGCATTCAACAATCACTGCAACCGAAAAACGATTCTGAATGAAGTATAGTATGGATTGTGTTTTATTTTTGCTACCGAGTCGAGTTTTTTCGGTAAATGTTTCAAATGAAAGGCTATCGAGCAAACATTCCGCATCGATGCATACGATGAATGTACTGTGTGAACAAATCGTAAAATTTTTACTAAATAAAAAAACGTTTTTCAAAAATAAAATATGGTTTTTAGTAAAACTAATAGTTTCTTCCTACACTCAGAATCTGAAAAAAAATGCCATTTTGATCTTTCATATTAATTGAGAATATAATATTATATTGAAGACGAATTATTGTTAAAAATCGATACTCTAATTAAAACAAAACTTATAAAAATTAATAAATTCATCAACTTTAGGGGTATTTTCTGCCATTTCTGGATGAAAATTTGGCTATAGTTTGTAGATTGAGATGGCCATTTTTTTATTTTTATTGCAATTGTTATAATATTTGGGAAAAATCGTAGAAAAACAGGCAAATTTACGCAACATCGGTTTCTGTTAATTTAGTTAAGGTTTTATGTGTGGATAAAATTATTTTCGAGTAGCAATTATGTTTGAAAATTTAAAACGAGTTTTGTAATAAATTGTACTTAGTAGTAAAAAAAAAAAAAGAAGAAGAAATCTGTTCGTAATGTAGACATTTTTTAGTAAATATACATTTAAAGTTCAAATTTGTATGAAACTTGTAAAAATACCGAAACTTTAAACGAATTCCGCTCATAATCGATTTTCGTTAATAATGATGTATCATTTTGTATATTCTACACCATTCCTAATTTCGCACTTACACTAGTGGTTCACCTATCAGCAGCTCCATTTTTGTACTAAATAGATTTTTATTTACTTAAAAATAAAGTAAATATAAATACAACTTAAGCTTAAAGTATTTACTTAAATATTATAATAAAGAGTTAATTCGATATTTTTGTTTTATATATTATGAATGCAACAAATAATTACGGATGTCATTACAATGCAGTAATATTGGAATATTAAGGTTTATATTATTTAAAGTGGCTGTAAATAAAACAAAATATTTATTATCTATTTAAATCATATCTAATCGTAAGATTTTGTTTGAAAAGTTTAAGCTACGATAGTATTTATTATATACTTTATGAATTTTTTTTTTTTTTTTCGATACCTACGATAGATATTGTATTATATATAAATATGTAGCCGCATGTATTAATTAAATGCAGATATTAATATTATTATAAATAATAGCAACAAATCTAAAAACCACTACTATCACGAAAATATGACTTAATTAATTATGGTTGTCATTTTTTTTTTTAAATAAAAACCTCTAAGGTTTTAACGTAGGATAATATTATCTGAGAATGACGATTTACAGTATCTGGTTGATCGGGTACACATTAAATCTATTTTTTTTTATTGTTATTCTGATTTTAAGTTTAAATTAAATTGGGGATAGAAAAATATTTTAAATTTTAATTATTAGTAATAATAAACTTTTAGTGATTGTTATTCGATACATGTGGCTTGGTGAGTGAAAGGCCAATGGTAAACATATTAATTGAAAATTGGAAATAAATTCCAAAAAATTTCAAAAAAATTTAACTTAAATCCATAATTATTGTAATAAGTTTTCTGTTTTTTTTTTTTTTTGACACCAAGCCACAAATATATTATGTATGTATTTATTTTTCTGCTTGTAAATATTTTCAGAAAATTGTGTCTGAAGTAAAGTTTAAAAAGATAAAACCATAATTGGTGCGGGTGATAAAATGTTTGACTAATATGTTAGTATGACCGAGATAAAAAAAAATAAGTGAACATTAAATTTTCTTTTTGTAAAAATGTAGACATAGCAAAATTATTATTTAAAATCGCACTGCGTACGTATATATATATATAAATAAAATATATTGACAATACCTTAAACATGTATTTATTTATTCAGAATTCGTTTAAAAAAGACGAAATAATAATAATATTACTATCACTATCTATACCAATGACGTTGTTTTGTAGTATTTAACTCGTATATTTTGCATAATTATAGGTAAAAATTTACAATCAATTATACAATGCACAGTTAATATATATTTTGTTAAGATTTTTTATACTAACTGTTACTTATATACCGTATACATATATATGTATGTATAAAAGCACGAGTTTATTAAACAATTTATGAATTTAGTTCGTTTTTATATTCAAATTACTATAAAAAAAAAAAAGAAGAAGAAGAAGAAGAAATTATACTTATAAAATATATACACTATAGTATAACAATATATTATGCTCACCTTTTACGGGATATATTTATTCGGATACAACGATAAATTGGATATTTTCGCAAACTTGTAAATGAAGCAAAATAATAACAGTTAGATGTATAAACGGCGTTATTGCGTTGATGAGGACGACGATGCCACGGAAAGATGGTTTTCAGTGACGGCCGGGGTTTATATACCCTTTCGGTCCGAGCGCTCCGCTCTGTGCTTTTGTCGGCGGTGGTGCTGCGGGAGTGTATGCAACAGGTGTCCCCGCCCACAATAAACTGTATACAACTTTGAGTAGGTATTTCGAAAGATCGATTTAGGAGTAGTAAAAACAAAAAAAAAAAAAACATAAAAACTACACTTTTTTAATCCCTCGTTATAACAATAATATAATAATAAATATACCTACTCGTTTTGAAAATTATATGTATATATGTACAGGTTATAACAATAATAATTTAAACTTTCGGCATTGTAATAATACGACTGCGATGCCTGTAGCGTATACAAAATAAATACCTATACCTACCTACCTACCTACGTACTATAATACCTAATAATAATTTTCACTGAATAACATAATAACAATAATAATAATAATAACAATAATAATAATAATAAAATAATGCATATACGTGAAAAAGAGCTATTGTTTATATTACACGATATTTTGAATATTATACACAATATCGCGCGATTCGCATTCGCGTCTTTATACTTTTCTGATAGGTATTCTAAATAATAAAAGATATATAACCATTATAAAACGAAATATACCACTTGTAATACTTATAAATAAGTGATACAGGAAATATTATATATTTTGATTCGAGATAACTATATGTATATATATATATACAGTGGATAATTGAAGATTCGGTTGAAACATTTTACGCGAACAATGCTGGCTTAAAACGTATAATAAAAGATTATAAAACAAATAAACATACAATGAAAATAACAAGCATGGATATATACACATAAGAAAAACGCGTATGGGTATTATTTGCTAATATTTTTCGTTCAAGAATTCGTTTAAGAAGATCTTTGTTTTCGATAATATTTCAAATAATATAGTTATAATAAAATATTGTATAAACATTAAAGCCAGACGTTAGTATAAAAGAATGGAGAATCTACAAACGAAATTGGCAGGAATGTATAAGTAGCGGAGACCAAATATTATGGAAGAAAGACCATCGTGGAGTGTGGCTCAAAATGGGCAGACATGTCACGCGTGGAGTAAAAGTGAATTGTTGTTGCGGAGCTGTGCTAAAAATAATAGAGACAACTAACACGCCTGAGATTAAAATGGGGAAATTAGGGTTAAGGAAGACGTGGAAGTAAAGCCTGGAGTAAATTCGAGGGACTTGGAATAAGAAATAGAAAGCTGAAGGCAATTTGTGCAGGACGGCATGGTTTTGAGAGCTGAAGACACGCCAGAAGAAGAAAAAGAAGCTCAAATAATTTCAATTAAAAATAATATATTATGGTGAACCCAAAATGTTTTTTTTTTTTTTTATATATATACATTAGATCCATTTGGTCTATGGAATATTTCACTTATACAATATAATTATCAATCACCTTTTGAAAACTATCAAAATAATTACCCGAACGTTTTAAATATCGTTCAATGTAATACCCAATGCATTTCATTTTAGAATTACAAATTACCGATGGTATATTACTGTCTTCCTAACATAAATTTAATTTAGTGTATTTGTATTAGTTTTTATTATTATTATAATTTTTATTTGTTAATCATCTTTAATCGTGTTATATAATATTTTTTTTAACAGCCGAGATTTTTTGTTTTTATCTAGTCCGACGAAAAAAGTAATATTGTAAACTAACAATTTTTATACATTAATAATAGTTTCGATTAGTGGTTATAAAAGGATATTTATTTCGTATTCATTATTTCAATCACTATACTTATACTTTACAGTTATAACGAAATTTTTTTTTTTGAATTGTATATATTTTTATACATATTATAATATGTTAGTTATGTACATTGTTTTATTATTATTTATTAATTGAATAAAAATAAATAAATAATAATATTCTATGATAATAAAATTATTTCAATGTAATACTCCTAAACCGTAAATTATCTGCGTATATATAATATTATAAAAAAGTGCGATTTTTACGAGTACAATTAATTAGTGACTTTTTTTTTGAAATAAAGAATAATTGAAAAATGTATTTTATCATTTAAAAATAACCAATGATTTATCATAATTAAAAGTAATTTCGTGATAAATATGGGAGATTCGAATGTAATCGGCAAGGGTCATTATAAATTGGCCATAATTAAAATCACTCTTAACCGTTCTGTATCCCTCGTCATATTAAATGTTTATAATATATTTAAAAGTGCTGTTTTTCTCAGTTCCATTAATTTTTATTGACATTTTAAAATTTGTGTTTAATATTAATTATTGTAATATTTATTAAGTGTTTATTGTAAAATATTTACCATTTATCACATTTTTTTGTGTTGATGTATGAATCAAATTAATAAATTATCAACTAAATTAATTTTACTATTTTTTATAATATTATATTATATAATGTATGAGATACGTATCTAATTATTGGTGAAGACAAATTATGTTCTATTCAAAATCCTGTTGCCTATAATTATTTAGTAGTTAGCATTATACAGGGGTGGCTTAAGTGGCCGCGTCCCTTCTAAGCACGTATTTTTTACGAGGAATATATTTGTTTTATAATAATGTTTATTTTTTATTTTTTTATACTGTGTACAAAAATTCTATCAGAAATTTTAATCCAATTTACAAATGTAATACTTTTTCTGAAAGGCAATTTTCCTGGGGTGGTAATTTAAGGAGGTAATTTTTGATTTTCCCAGGGGTTTTCATAATAAATAAGAAAAACTGGAAAAAAACGTAGGACTAACAAAAAAATGTACGAAATGTGTTATATATTTTCATATCATAAGTATTACGGCTTTTTAAAACATATATAACCGAAATCCGCTTAGAATCTTTTTTCGTTATCAAAGATTAATCAACATAATTTCTCCAAAATTAAACAAAAATATTAATATTAAAACTAATTCCTTTAAAGTAGTTTAATTATATTCTATATTTTATAAATTTTATACCACTATAATATAGTATCACGCACAGGGAAAAATGTTATTATTAAACTTTCGATTTTCGTTTATAACTATAACTACATTATATTTCCAATTTAAGAACCTTGACATGATTCATAGGGTGTGCACACTCTTCACACTCCACCAAACTTCGTAGTCCATGCTTACGAATATTATATTATAGTAATCCATGTATACATACCAATTGGAAAACAATTTTGGGTTATTGAACTTCTTTATGGGCACGAGAAATTACTTTGCAATTATATTTGCAGCATAAAGTATAATAAACTACCAACATGTAGTGGAAAGTATCAAATTTTTTAAACGATTTGTATAATACGCATCATTTGAAATTTTGAAAACAAAATATAACAGATACTTTCGCATTTATATAATAAATTCTATTCGATGAAACCTAAGAAACGCCATTCGTAACCATTTTTAGAATAGGCAAATTTGAATAAATTAATAAAATTAGGTAATTTATCTTTGAGAAAATTATTAATATTTGTTATATCTAGGACCAATTATTGGATATTTCATATAATATTATATTAGTGATGGGTACATGGAGGCTGTTCGATATTAAACGAATTTATTTTATTAATTAAATTATTTGCTAAGATTTATTAGTCAATCTATAATAAACTAGTAGCTTTATATTTGTATAACCATACATAAATGCACTCGTGTATTTATAATAATACTGCTATACATAGGTATATGAATATATTACTATTCACATGCAAACAAATGTTTAAAATCATAATTTGATTGGATTTTCTATGAGTGAATTTAAATTTGTTTTCAAACTGTATATTATTTGGTTTGAATATACATAGTATATTAACATAATGTTAATATCATTGAGGGCCTTTTTAATTTTCTAAAATTAAAATTTAACAACGCAAGCATTGTAAAAGAAATAATCGGTGTTCGCTAATAACACAAACGTTATATCAAATATAACTTGAGTGATGATGTGTGTAAAACACGTAGATTTCCAGTTGGATAACTAATATATTATTATTCGATTTTTTTTTAGAACTTATAATAATTGACGTATATTTTATTAACTGATTACATATGCATGGACATAATGAAGCGAAACACGTTTATGAAAGTTATTTTTTTTTCTGATTTTGAAAACGTACATTTTAATTATTCACTTCTGAGAATTAATTTTAGGTTAAAACGAAATTGTGTTATATTTTTAAAATGTCAATCGTTTAATTTTTCAAAACGTCGCACCTAATTAATAAAGTACAAAATGTTTATACTTAAAATTATTTTCGAAAAAAGTATAAAAAAAAAAAACAATGATGAGCAGCAAATTATCTTCCAACTATTTTCTATAATAGTACTCTGTAAATTAATAAACAAAAGAATACTATATAATAACAAAATAAAACACAACTATATTACCAGGTGATCCATCTAAGTGGGTATTCTCATTATCTCGGAATGTATTAACATTTTTCGGAATTTGTTTTCTAAAACATTTTAGGAACAAGCAGCTTTAAAATTGTATACTCAGGTTATTTTTTGTTACCCTTACTTTTTTAAATTGTGACCTTTCTTTAAAAGTCTGTAAAATTCTATGAAATGTATTTATTGTTATTTTTACGTCTTTTTTCGGTCTCGCTCAATTATTAAGTGATTAAGATATTAAAAAACGACTTTTTATTAACCAACTAGATTCAAAATTCAACAATAAAATTCCTTTGCGTTTTTTGATTAGAGCTATATTTACTGTAGAAAATACGAACCGTAAAAATTAGATTTGACTACGAGCAACAAAATGAAGAGTTGGAAAGGACAACCGCACAGGTTGAAAAATGATTTTAGGTACCAGGGTGCATGTGGTACGACGTAGATGCACCACCGCACTCTTTGGTGTATTGCATACGGTGTGTGGCAGTTTCAGTATTGTATTGTGTATCATTATTGCCGGATGAGGAGGGCCAAAATCGAAAATAATAAATCCAATGCGGTAAACATTCCCTTATTTCCT